ATGTTACAGTATAATTTTTATACATATATACAAAAATTGTCAGGAAATTTAGAGAATAAAATTAAAATTTTTTTAGATAAAAATTTTTTCTTATAAAAATTTCATAATCCAAAATATTATTCAAAATAACAATAATTCAACTTTATAATCATTTTATGAATTTGTATCTTATACTTGCAAAAAATATATACATTTGATTAAAGATTAAAAAAAGATTATGTAGGTAAGTTATTTAATAACTGATTAGATAATAATATTCTACCTTTTGATATTGTCGATGTAGTTGATGTTATGTTAGTTGCCACAGAATTATTTGGAGTTAATAAGATACTAGAAGCTGCAGATACACGTGCAGATGATGAATTAGTAGCAAGTGTGAGAGAAGTTTTTCCATTTTGTAAAATATTTGATAAAGTTCCATTTGATGTACCAATCGTAGGTTTATTATGTATGGCTAGAGAAAAAGAAGAAAAAATATACATGTTATATAAAATATATATAATGATATATATAATAACATATAATGATAATAAAACAATATGTAAAATTTACCTGCAGCTGTTAAAGTATTAACTCTAATTTGATTTCCTGATGTTGTTAAAACATTAACAAGTTTTGTATCTCCATTTTTGTCAGGAATATTGAGATGCCTATAGTTGTTTGATATTACTTTAGAAAAACTTTTATTTGATGATACAATAGTTTTCATTTTTGACACGTTTTGTAACTGTACATTCGTTGAAACAATTTTAGGCACTTTAGTTGATGCAATTGAAGATTTAGGAATATTTTTAATTGTTGTAGATATTGTTTGACCTGACGATGTTGGAGCTAATCGTATTGGCCCAATTGGCGCTAAACTTGCCAATGAACCAATATTTAACGTTATACCACCATTATCTGAATTCGAATTTGACTGAAAAATATATATATATATATACATATATATATATATTTGAATACTCTCCTTTAATTAAAATTAAAAACTTACTTGTCCGGAAAGTCTAGACGTTATTAAATGCTCTACGAAATGATTTTTTTGATTATTAACAACTCGAGGTTTCCGTTTTACAGTCTGTGCATGATTTGTATGTATTCCACCTACTGCGATTATATTTTGTTGTGTACTAAATGTTCCTATTCGAGAAATCGTAGCTGATTGTGTATTTTGTCCAATAGATACAACAGAAGAAATTGGTGTATTCGGTCGTGACTTTTTTATAGTAGGAGAATTTGGTTTACTTTCGACAGAACTACTTGTTGAATTTCTTCGTTTTCGTGGTTCCTTTCTGTTGTTTTTATTTTCATAATTTGCTAATGATGTTGATCTTAATGGTAATGGATGTGGTTGCAAAAGAATAGTTCCTACAAAATCTCCAATTTCGTCTAAGATACATCTATCTACCATATTTTGTGTAATACCTTCTGATATCTTTTTTGCAGTAGATATTCTTAAATGATCATCAGCAGTTCCAACTACTATCAAACTTGTTTCAACCATCATTTTTTCTCTGAGGTCTTCTAAATCATCAGATCTTACAAGTGTAGCATTTTGTCCTATTACAAACATAATTGGACATCGAATATCCATTAATGTATCATCAGATGTACCTCTTTTTCCTTCAACTGTAAAAAACGGAAAGCCAAGGCAAATAACTGCAGTTACATGTTCCATTTGTGCTACCTATAAATATTAAAGATTTCATATTGAATCTATTATCATATTATATTAAAATACACAGATAAATATTATACCTGACATGCAAGAGCAGCACCAGTATTAAAACCAACAAGAATAATAGGTCTACCAGGAAAATCACTCCTAATATCTTGTATTTTAGTTCTAGTGGCTTGAACTAATTGGTCAATGCATACCATCATAGTCATTCTATTGGCTGATAAACCTAAATGAGTATGAACAGTAACAACCATTCCTAAAGCTCCTAATTGAGAAATCCATTTATGTTGTCGAGTAGAAATATTAGATCCTACTCCAGAAGGAACTATTATCAAAATTGGATTTCCTGGTAATTTTTTCTATAACAATAATCATATTTATATATATTATAATAAATTCATATAAAATATATTTTGATATATCTAATAAAAAAAATAATTACAAGTCTATTGCTATTTAAACTTGGTGTAACAGGATCCCATGTCCGTTTAAGAAGTGATCCAAGAGTTTCCCATGTTATGGAACCCGTTTTTGCATTAATATTTGGTTGTACAGCAATCATTTTATCAATAAGTTGAGGAATTTTTAATCTTAAAGTTTGCAATATATCAAGATAAATACCAAGATATTCTTGAGGAAGATGGTCAAACAATAAATTATGCAACCATTGTGCAAGTCTCCAATCCCAACCAGCAGATGCCAATGTTTCCCGAAATCTCCTTGCAGCTGTATCAACTGATGTTCTTCGGTAAATTGGTTCTATTGAATTATTTACTTTAGCTAATCTTGCAAGTCTTTCTGAATTTAATATTTTAAGAACTTTAGTAAATATTCGATTTTGAACAGGTGTCCATAAAATTTTATCAAGTTTCTCTTCCCAATCTTCATTTTCATCAGGTCTAGCAAAATTTGCTAATCTTTGTAATTCATCCATTTGATGCCGAGCTCTAGTAAAATCTATTGGTGGTATTAATAATTCATTATTATCCTCTTCTATATTAATTTCTTCATCCTGAGTAATTTTTTCCCTGATATATAAAAAGTAATAATATCATTTTATAATTACATTTTAATAATTATATTTAATAATTCTATTATTTTCATTTCTTACATTAATAAATTTTTTTTTGGAAAAAATAATTTTTTTATTGGTTTTACATAAACATTTTCTGGTTTCCAATTCCATGGACGTGCATAACAATGATCTTTTGCCAGCACATTAACTTCGGTTTCATAGCATCCAGCAAGTTGATGTAAATATGTAGTTAATCTACTAGGATTATCATCAAATGTATCACTAATAGGACTTGGTACTCTAGATGTATTTATCGATGTAGAAGGCATTGTTAATGTTGATGTTAACATTATTAAATTCTTTATATTCAGTATATTTATAAATATAATTGATTCTTGCAATAAATACTATAATCATTTACAATCTTCCTCATATGACTATTACGTCATATCTTGAATCTGAATCATGAAAATTAATATAAAATTATATATAATTAATCACAATATTTTAATCATCTAATTTCTTAAATATTTCTTATAAATAAATTAATTATAATCATAATATATTAATTATCTATTTTCTTTTTAAATATAATTTTTAATATATATAAATAATGAAAAAAACTGACAAATAAATACATATTATAAAAATTGAATTTTCGAAAATTTATATATATACATGTACATAAATCTTCGAAATTTTCGAATATATATATATATATACATATATATATAATATATATATTATATATATATGTAATAATTATTTATATTAATAAATTATATTAAATAACTATATCTGTCATGAAACTAACCTTCACAGTATATTAAATTAGAAATTTTAAGTTTTACTATCATAACATTAATTATTTTACAATAATACGCAATATTACTTCAAACAAAAAATGCAGTATAATCTAAGACATAAAAACACATGTAAAGTAAAAGCATTGTAAGCATATAGTATCAATATATCGAATTCAAAATAATTTTATTACATATTATTATTTAATAGAAAGATAATTATTATACATTAATTTCATTAATTTAAAACGCAAAAAATAAAAAATATAAAATTAATAGAAAGAAAGGTAAATACATAGATAGAATTCCAATTTATATAGCGCATAATATTTAGAACGATAAATGTCTACTGATACTTATAATACGTTAACCAATCAATTTGCAATTAAAGAATTAAATTAAATTTTATACTTTAAGTTTTTTTTTAACAAGTTATTCAAATTAATAACAATTGTAGAAAATTAATAGCAAATGTAGAATAGGACATAAATAAAATAATACTCATTTATATTACTCTATATTTGAGCTTTCGATTTTTAAAATATTTTATAGTAAAGTCCGATTTTCAATAAACATTTACTATATTATTATTATTATTATGTTAACATTAACTAAATTTTAATTATTATTATAAAATAAAAATTAATATAAAAAATAATACTAATATTAGTATTTTTGAATACTAATATTAAATTGAATATTCAATCAAAAAATTAATAGTTAAATGTAATGTTTTCTATGTTAAAGTATTTGAACTTTTCTATATGTTCAAATATTTTTT